CATCAGTGCGGCTGCACAATTGAGATGTACCAAGCAGAATGACAACCAAGAATACAAAATACAGAAGGGAGGGAATCGTAACAACGCTTGACTCAGGCCCTCGATCAGCCAATATTTTCCCCCAGGTGGTAGATACTATGAACAAGAGCAAAGTCAGAGCAGACAGCTAGATCTTGCAGCAGGTCGTGGTGCGCAGAAACGCGTATGTTTTCCCAAGTAGAATGTGGTGTCTCCCCCGTAGAAAACGTTGCTTATGCACAGCTGCTCGCCGGTTGATGGGCTTGCTGAGATCCTTCTGGAGAACCTTGGGGATATCAGGCGCAGGAGTGGGCGCCATCTTGGCCATGAAGTGATCGATCTCACTCGACTGTAAGTATTAATAATAATAGTATTACGGCCTTGCCTGGTAACAATCAATGATATTAATAAGATTGATGAGACACCGGTTATGTTAGTAACCGAAACCGGCATTGTACGAATTTGTAGCTCTGAGGAAAATCTTGCCAATTGTTGTGCAAAGATCGTATGTACAAGGAATTTGGCAGTTATTTGCTGCGAATATCGTACAAATTTCTCATGAAAACTATAACTTGGATCAATCCTGCTATTGTATCAAATTTCCGTTTGGCCGTGTATCTACCCACAGCACCAGTAACTAGCCCACGGTAGTCCCAAAGAGGCCAACTCGACGTCGGCAAACTGTGCCTTCCCGTCGGCTAACGTAGACCGACTTGGGCCGAGGTAAATCTGGGCCTACGGGGTTAGGAATGCAGTGAATTCCCTGGCGCTTCCGGTCCTTGTGCAACGTCTCGCAGTACCTTGAAAGGTAAGGTCGACTGTGCTTGAGCTTTGGCGGGCACGGTTGTCCCGTGAGGGTTGGGCACCTGCCATGATTTTTTAAATGTTTAATCATGGTCCTCAAAGCTGGAATTAAGGCTCTCATCCGTCCGTCCCGTTGAACGGGACGGGTGATTACGGCCGTTTTTTCACACGGGCCATTGGCAGACGGCCCGTAGAGGGAGGACCTCTGAAGTGTCTACGGGCGGGCCCCACCCGTTCGACAGGTTACGGCCGCTAAAACGGGTATACTTATAGGTCTAAAATATTTTTGGCGGCCTTGTAGGATAGCTATTGTATTTAATGCGAAGATATGTTTCATGACTATATACCTATCAATGGCCCTCCCAAGGCCCACCAGGCAACCTTGGTTCCTCCATTGCTGCATCAATTTTGAGTAGGTGCCGTGATTGACACCTTCGTGGGAGTTTTAGAGCCTGCCGCGCTCAAAATTGACCGGATCAATAAATTACCGCGCTGCGGATCATCGGGTTTGAGACTTACCGTTGAACGGACGGGTACGGGTTCCCCCAAGGTTCCCCTACCCGTCCCGTTTGTAGCCCGTTGGTAGATCTATGCAAGGGGGGCTACGGACGGACCCGTTCCCGCATCAACAGGCCGTAGATCCGTCAAAAACGGCAACGGATGAGAGCCCTAGCTGGAATTCACAGCTGATGTTAGCTATCAATGGCTTGCAGTGCAGGGATAACGATCAAGCTCTCCCGCTGATATATACCCTGCCATACTGTGTACATCTGCCGCGATTGTACCGTGCCTTCTGGGTATTAGATCTACCTCGTTTAAGTTACTATATAAGGAGTGAAGCCCAAACCGCGATTTTCATTCCAATTCCCCGCCGGTGTCACCAATGTTGCAAAGTGCCTTACCGCCGCTCGACGACACGCTTGGTGCTATCGAAATCGGGGGCGTTGTCGGTACCTTCCTCTTCGGGATTGGAACACTCCAGACATTTTATTACTATGGACACTTCCCCGCGGACTCTAAGCTTTTGAAATCAGCGGTATGCCGTTCAATTGCTGTGGCTGCGAAGAATTGGTCGCTGAAGTTCTCAGCAGGTTGGACTCTTATGGTCACAGTGTTCGGCGATAGCCATCCTCAACTTCGCTGATATTTTCATTCAGGATTCTCGAGCTTGGACATACCATTTCGACCTGGCACACAGTATGTGATGTGAATGGTAAAAGTTCAACTTGTTATTATGTCAAAATAGATCTATTCGGTGACTGTGACTTTCTATGGCCAATCTCAGTATATCAAAAGGCCACCGCACTCTTTGGACATGGTGATTGTCTTCTCTGCACTCATATATTTCATTGTCCAAGTGCGTGTTCGTTCTTCTCTCGATTGTGCAGAGGAAAACCAATTGTACTGCAGGTCTTTTTCGCCCACCGAATCCGCAAATTGTCTGGGCGCTGGGAAATTACAATCATCTGCTGGGTGTTGGCATTTTTGCGCGCTGGCTGCGCTTTTGGTTCGCTAGGAATCACGCTGCATGTAAAACAACTTTCGGAACTTCAGGAAAAGTATAAGTTTCTCGCGGTTTCAACACTCTCACTCGGTGCGAGCGTCGACGTCATTATTTCGGTATCCATCTCCTACTTGCTGTGGACCATGCGGACGTCAGGAGTCAACGAGTGCGTTGTCATATTCATTCTGTCTAATGGTCTCTTTAAGTTGTGTAGGACCAGAAGAATGGTGGACACTCTCGTCCTTTGGACAATCGGTAAGACTACTGCGTCGTGACTAGTTCGAATTCTGATAGACTATATGCGGCAGAGTCTGGGATGGCCACAGGGTCAGTGGTGTGATCGGTTCAAAATCAGTCTCGTTCTGATGTTCTTTTTATTCAGTGGAACTAGTGTAATCATCATCATTCTTGTAAGCCGTCCTCAAACTTATCGAGATATCCAGACTTACGTGGGAACAGTTTGTCCTAAGGAACGATCGTGAGTATCAAACACCGCATCCTTATGCTCCCTAAGAAACAGGACATTCCCTCAGTGACATGGGTTGCGTTCAACCTGATTCTTGCCAAATGTAAGACTATCGAATTCGGCACCTGAAAGTTAGTTGATCTGATCCGGTCTCCAGTATTTTCCAACTCCTTCCTTGCCTCGTGAGTTCTTTTCTCTTGGTCTCAAGCGCAGGTTATTGACCAGTTTAGACTCAACGGACGTCGGCGCTTTCGCGTACTGGAAAGCGGTGTTGTGAACCTAGACACCGGCCACCCGTCATTCAATCCCTCGCATTTAATCTTTGGCCCGCAATCAAAGATGGTGTGCCGGCACCATCTCATCGACTACTGGTCCTAATCATGAGCAGGGAACAGCACTGGAAATTTCTACAAGGAGGCATTCTGTTGCGGATTTCGGCTCTTCTAAGGTATCTTGAGAACTTTCCACCTGCGGCATTTGCTGACTTCCTTCTCAAGGACGTCGAAAGAGGAAAACATTTCCATCAAGAAAACTTACCGTTGCAGCTCGGTGCGGATTCCGCCGGGGTGGAGCGCACAGGAGACGAGGATGTCTGCGTGCGCCTTGGCGAGGTGGTTCGAGACGATTATGTTGCCCAGTTTGCTCACGCCGTAAAGACGCCTGGATGCACCTAATCAACAAGCCGGCAGAAAAACGAAACGAAACTGAGTGAACGGACCATGGAGCGCGGAATCTTCCCCACTTCTTTATCAGGGCGTCGCGCGCCGGTCTGCCCCGCAGCGACGCAAAGTCGATGGTTCTGGCCGGCGCAAATTTGTGTCCCGACGAGGAGGTGTTGATCACGCGTGCGGGGATGTTGGTGGCCTTTTGAGAAGCGGCGAGTGCGGGAATCTGCCGGGAAGGAGGACTGGTAAATTTTCACAGACGATTGGCTGACGAATGGCGGCCCAGGAGAAGTTCAGTCAGAAAATAATGTCCGATGACGTTTGTGCCGAATTCTAAGAGTAGAAATCAACTTGTCAGCGCTCATGACGTCCCAGAAGAGGATAGGATTCGTACGCAGGTCGTGTTTTTGAGCGGTAAGCTGTTCAGTGGGAGATATCATGACTCCACTATTGGAAACGTGAGAGACGCGGTGGAATAAATAGGATTTGAAGCACCCATTGTTAAACAGAAGATTGAGACGCGACTGTTGTGCCAGAAAGGCGTCGGCCGCCCTGCGCACGCACCTCAGGTCGGCGAGATCAAGGTTCAGTGGCGGATGGTTCCGCGTCTGCTAAGCATGAAATGCTAAGACAACCAACAGTAGGCAGAATACGCTCGTTCGAATCGAGCCTGGGCTATGCACCCGCCGTAATGGCATTTTTTATTCAACACGGTAATTGTAACTCTGTTTAGCAGGGTTGCCAGGTTCGAGAAAAAGGTCCAGTGGCGGATGGCTCCGCATCTGTAAAGCGTTACCAATCCCCAAGACTCTAAGCAGAAGTAGCTCGTTCGACTCGAGCCTGGACCGTTCGTTTTCAGCGCCATTTTCTTCACATAAACTTGTTGAAATTTACCACATCTCTCTAGGTCTCAAAGGAAGGGGACAAAGCCCAGGGGCGGATGGTTCCGCATCTACTCAACTTTGTAAATGAGTGGATTAAATAAAAGTAAGCCTGTTCGAATCGAGCCTGAGCCATGTTTTGTGGAAACCAGTGTTGTTTTTTTTTTCATTTGGAACTGACATTCAACCAACCCAACCGAGTTCCCTGGTGTAGAGATACAGGCCCAGTCGCTGATCGTCTCCGAAATATTGTTCCGTTCATCTACGTAAGCAGAACATGCTCGTTCGACTCGAGCCTGGGCCATGTACCTGCTGGCACGGCATTTTTTTATTCAACATGGTAATTGCAACTCTGTTTAGCAGAGTTTCTAGGAAGGAGAAAAAGGTCGAGCCTGGGCCATGCACGCGCGACTCGTTAATTTTCATTTTGCTAATTGAAAATCAACCTATCTATTTAGATTTCAAAGGGGGAGAGAAAGGCCCAGTGGCGGAAGGTCCGCGTCTGTGATACTTGAGCGGATAGAATCATTGCAATGATCTTAAGCAGAATATGCTCGTTCGAATCGAGCCTGAGCCATGCGTAATCAGTATTCATGCTTTTTTTATTCAGTTAACCTGTTGAAATTTACCTCATCTTTGTAGGTTTCAACAGAGGAGAACAAAGCCCGGTGGCGGATGGTCCGCGTCTGCTGAACTTGTCAAAGTCTTCAAGATTCCAAGGTTTGCAGAAGACGCTCGTTCGACTCGAGCCTGGGCTATGACATGGTGGAATCTTTTTATTCCGCTTGTTAATGTTACAGAGTTGCAACCCGGATGCGAAAAAGACCCGGAAGCGAAAATATGTAATTATAAGCTTTATTTTGAGGTAGGTAACCCCGATTTTCTTTGTGGGAGCCCTAGAGATCGTGAAAAATCCTACCTAAGCAAAAACGCCCATACCCATCGTCAGTTAGCACAGAAATCGAAAATATGCCAAAAACAGAAATGTGTGGCTGTGCCAGAAGTCTTGAGGAAAGAATTATTATTGTGAGTGCACCCTACATTGTCCAGACTCGAAATTGTATGTGGGGGGGATTTCAGCAGCTCCCCTCCCTCCTCACAGCCACATATTGTCCTGAGGGTGCAATAAACCCCTGTGTGTGACCCCATTTTTCGGATGGGGCCCTCCACCAAAATGGGTGACAAAATTAATGGGCTCATGTTCCGCAACTACCCATCGGAAAAATCTGAAAATATTTGTGTATACACTAAAGAGTGACTGTATCGTGTCCTCCCATTTCGATTTACAAGTGCTTGCATTACCACTGAGAAATACGGAAGAACTTTATTTTTTTCGCATCCGGGTTTCAACTCTGTAATTGAACCAACTTCACTGGGTTGCGAGGTATAGAAGTGTCGGCCCAGTGGCGGATGATCCGCATCTGCTGAACTTACATTTATCTTCTACGAGGTACTATGCAGAAGACGCTCGGTCGACTCGAGCCTGGGCCATATTCTGTGCATGGTCAAATTCTTTTTATTCTGCTTGTTGAATTGAACCAACTTCACGGGGTGTCTGGGTATTGAAGTTCAACATATTACACGAAAGCCCGAGTCAACGGAGGACGCTCGTTCGACTCGAGCCTGCCAGTGGGCCATAAACTGATATTTTTTGTTGAACTCCAACTGACTTTCTAGGTAAAGCCCAGTAGCGGTTGGCGGATGGATGGTTCCGCATCTGCGATGTTTACACTCGTTTAAATCCGGCTAAGTCAACAACAGAATTGGTGGGAAAGAGAAAATGGGACTAGTAGCCAATGGTCTGTGTCTGCAAATTGCTGACAGGCTCTAAGCAGAAGCCGCTCGTTCGACTCGAGCCTGGGTCATTGAGCAGTATCAATAGAGCATTTATTCAACACGGTAATTGCAACTCAGTTTAGCAGAATTTATTGGTGACCCAGTGGCGGATGGTCCGCATCTGCGATACTGTATTTTTTCTATCGATTCGACACGGGGTGTGACTGTGACACAAATTTTCGAAATCGACAATTCGACATGGGGCCAAACGACCGTGACAAAACCCGAAAATTTCGACAAGGCTTCATCAGGATCCCCCCCGATACTAGAATGGTTAGGAATTATTTGAAGACCTGCAGATTTTTTTCATATTTTATGCTTTTAGTGGTGATGCCGTGATGTGCAATTGATCTGGGTACATTTCTTTCGTTAATTGCGTGTATGTACTTCCTGAGACTGAGATACAGAATTGTAGGCCATTGATTTCTTTTGTAGCAAAACGTGGAATGATGAAGAAAATGGCAGCCAGTGTACCCTAAAAAAATCCTTGATCACCTTCACCACGGCAAGAATAGAAGAATTGACAAAGCATTCAAGTATTCTATTATAGTGTTGATATTTGAGCTAGGAAACTGCCGCTCTTTGAGCCTTGTCTCGGAATTTGCAAACCCTCGGTGCATAAATAGGTAGTCCCAGATCTGGAGCAATAACGGGGATTGTTCGAGATTTTTTGGGGACATTTGTAAACCTAAATGCCAAATCGACAGGTACAACGGAATTCGACACGGACAGACACCCTTGTGACATGTGACTGTCGAATCGATTGAAAAATACAGTGGTTACAATGAGCGTGGAGGCCAAGCAGAGCAAGTTCGTTCGACTCGACTCGGAGCCTGGGCCACCGGCACTAGTACTTCGACCCCAACGCGGCTGTTTAAACGTTCACTGCTGATTGTTGATCCGTACCTGCGCTTGCGACCTGTGTTTTTTTTTTGGACCAGAGTTTTTTTGGACTTGTGCATGTTTTTCAATGGATGCTACCAATGCTTTTCTGGACATCCCAGGGTTGTGCCTTGTCCTTCGAGCACATCCTAGGCTGTGCTTTTTTCTGACATTGACCTCAGTTGCGCCTTTTTTAATTCACTTTAGTAAATGTCTTGCACCAAATAATTATGGAACACTATTACAGCATAGAAAAGGCCCAATGGCGGATGGTCCGCATCTGTGATACTTGCGTGGATACATAGTTGCAATTATCTTAAGCAGAATATGCCCGTTCGAATCGAGCCTTGGCCATGCGTCATCAATATGAATCAATGTAAATGCTTTTTTTATTCAATTAGCCCGTTGAAATTTACCTCATCTATTTAGATTCCAGAAGAGGGCAGAATGGCCCAGTGGCGGATGGTCCGCGTCTGCTAAATGCTCATGGATTTTGAACCTGGAGTGTAAGCAGAAAACGCTTGTTGGAATTGAGCCTGGGTCATATTCCCTCCAAGTCGCGAAATTCTTTTTATTCCGCTTGTTATTGAACCAACCCCACTGAGATTCGGGAAATGATAATATAGGTCCAGTGGCGGATGGTCCGTATCTGCACAACTTGAGGATAAAATAATTACAATCGAGCCTGGGCCATGGTTCCTCTGTCTCCTTTTTATTCAACATGAGATTCAAATCCCATGTACCCAACCCAGCTTCTAGGTATAGGAATAAAAGCCTTGTAGCGGATGGTCCGCGTCTGCGACTCTTAGAGGAAGCGAGAAAATAAGCAGAAGATGCTCGTTCGTCTCGAGCCTGGCCATGTTCTGTCCAGGGTGGAATTGTTTTTATTCAGTTTGTTGAATTGAACCAACCCCACTGAATTCCGGCGTATAAAGTTGTAGGCCCAGTGGAGGATGGCTTCGCATCTGCGATATTTACAATGAACGTGGAGGTCAAGAAGAGCAAGCTTGTTCGATTCGAGCCTGGGCCTTTCTTCGTCGTTCGGGTTTTATATTCAACTCACAATTCAAATTTAACCAAGCCAACTCAGTGTCTGGGTATTGGAATGTAGGTCTGGTAGCGGAAGGTTCCGCATCTCCTCAGCGTTGCAAATGAGCTGGATTACAGAAGATTAAGCTTGTTCGAGACATGATATACCTTGGATTTTTCTAATTCACCCTTGTTAAATTCAACTATAGGAGAAAAAGGCTCAGTGGCGGGATTCGGTCCGCAGCTTCAATATTTTCGGAGGTTTGATTATCAAGGCCAAGCAGAATACGCTCGTTCGAATCGAGCTTGGGCCATAACTTGTGGAAAATACATTTTTTTTCTTTTTTTCATTTGGCACTGAAATTCAACTGGGTGTCTGAGTATAAAAGTAAAGGCCCAGTGGCAGATGGCTCCGCATCAGCTAAAATTTTGTTCAATTCAAGGCTCAGATTGAACCAACCCAACAGAGTTTCTCTGTATTAAGATATAGACCCAGTTGCGGATGGTCCGTGTCTGCAATACTTCCTGTGCAGTATAAAGGGATTAAAGCAGAATGTACTCCTTCGACTCGGGCCTGGACTTTTCTTCGTTGTTCTCATTTTTTATACAACTCAAGGTTCAAATTGAGCCAACGCAACTGAGTTCCTAGATATAGAAATATAGGCCCGGTGGCGGGAGGTCCGCATCTGAGATACTTGCAATGACCTTAGAGAAAGATTAAACAGAACAAGTTCGTTCGAACCGAGCCTCGTTGGCATGCGATTTTCGGCCTGGTTATGGATGGTTCGGCGTCTGCAAAGCTTAAAAGGTGATTGCAGAGCAAGCTCGTTCAACTCGAGCCTGGGCCATATTTTGTCCGTGGTGGAATTCTTTTTATTCCGCTTGTTGAATTGAACCGACTTCACGGGGTGTCTGGGTATTGAAGCTAATTAACGACACGGCCGCCGATCCGGTTGAAAAGGCATCTCCTCGTATCAGAGCTTGGACTCGACCGATCTCCAGTTTATTGCCTACATTCTCCGATTTTTTCATTCTAACTTGGAATGGGAGACATTGAATCTTCGCTGTCAGAGCTGTCATTGGGCTGTCATTGCAGAAGCACCGCTCCTAAGCACCCGAACAATGCGGCGACCACGCAACACCACTCCAAGCACTGTGTCTATCCTCCGGCTCAGCAACATTGCTGAAAATCCGACTGATCTGCATTTCGAACAGGACATTCGGGAGTAGCTTGCTGTCAGCTAGCTGTCGCTGCCGAAGCGCTACATCAATCTAGGTTCGACGTTCACGTAAGTAGTACTGCCCGCGAACTATGCGGCCAACCACTTCCCTGGATCTGCCCTCACAGCCTTCTGTCCAATTTAAAGCACAACGTGTCCCATGCATGTTTCTCCATTACTTCACCTGTGCTCTAGTACATTCTTCGTGCTACCACCCCCAAGTCTACTGCAGCAGTATATCTTCTTTGGTCTGTTCTGTCTCCTATGTGACCTTTGGCACTGGCTGATATAGTGCTGCCGTTCATACATAAGATTTAGAATGGCCAGTGATCTGTTCTCCAGCAGGCATCACACAACAATCCACGGTGCGAATCACATCAGTTGTCAATCTTGGCTAACTCCTCTGCAGGGGGTACCGGAGGGCCGGGTGGAATTGGGGGTAGCATGGGGGGTGATGGTGGCAATGGTGAGGGCCCGCAGTTCAATGTGTCAGGTGCCGAAAATTGGAATGTCACAGTCTATGGTGGTAAATCACTGCAATATACTGTCAAAGGCTATTCCTAATAGTACACACCAGATCTTCATGTCAGCCCAGAAGCTAAGAGCCAATCATTGCATGCTATGAGGCAGAAGGACCATAAGCTTTGTCCTCTGCCAGTGTCTTCATTCACAGGACGACAGGATATTCTTCAAAAGATGCACCAACACTTTGACTCTGATCAAGGATCTCGGCACATCTTTGTCTTGCATGGCCTTGGGGGTTCTGGAAAAAGTCAGCTTGCTTTCAAGTTTTTGCAAGATTCCCAAGCCCCCCATCGGTATGAATAAATTTCATAAATTTTGCAAATGTGTCACACCCCAATTTCTAGTTTCTCTGAAATATTCTATATTGATGCCACAAATGAACAGACAATTGAAACTGATCTGAAGATTGTTGCCCCTGCAGTGGCTGGTGAATCAGCTGAAGCGAGTTTGCACTGGTTTGCAGGCAAACAAGAAGAGTGGCTTCTCTTGTTTGACAATGCTGATGATGTCCAGTTGGATATTTCAAAATTCTTCCCCCGCTGCACCTTTGGCAACATTTTGATCACAACTCGCAACCAAGAACTTTGCATTCATGCCAGTGCAGGCTCAAGGGTGTCGGATATGGAACCTGAAGATGCAAAAGACTTGCTCTTGCAGTTGGCTTACCAAGGCAAGAGCGATAAGCAAGAGAAACTCAGCAGTGATGCACAAGAGAAACTGGCAGTAGCTATTGTGAAGGTCATTTCTTTCAGGTTTTCCTTGATGCAATTCAAACTGAAGCATAACACAGGAACTCCATTGCTTTGCTTTGGCTATCTCCCAAGCAGGTGGTTATATTCATGCCCGTGGCAAATTAAGCGGATATCTGAAACTTTATCAAAACCATCGTGACCAGCTGCTGCAACATGTAGAAATTCAAAGACAGAACCAATATGGTCTAGCCGTATATGCAACATGGAATTTGAGCTACAAGAAGCTTAGCTCACCTGGGAGAACCATGTTGCAGATTTGCTCCAGTCTACATCACAAGGGCATCTTGGAACAAATGTTTGAAAAAGCATCAATGTCTCAGAAAGACCTTGATGATTCTGTGTTGCAGAGGGAAGTGACCCAGCTTTTGACTACCCTTGGAAAGCGGGATGGGAACTGGGATTCTTTGGTTTTCCATTCAGTGATGGGGGAACTTGAATCATATTCCCTCATTGAACAGGATAGACAAGATGACTCATATCACATTCATCCCCTGGTACAGCACTGGAGTGGCACCACCATAGAAACAAACAAACATCTCATGCAGAAATGTGTGCTTGCTATGATTGGCTTATCAATTTCCTGGAGTTTTGAGGATGAGGACTACAAATATCGACACAAACTTTTGCAGCATGTTACCAGAAGCATAGAGTCATTAAACAGGGAGGAGCTCTGCACATTTGTGGCAACTGGTATTGGACTTGTGTATTTTGAAGGGGGGCGCTGGAAGGATGCAGAGGTGCTCAATGTGAGAGTGATGGAGATAAGGAAGCATGTGCTGGGAGAGGAGCATCCTTCCACCTTGACGAGCATGGCAAATCTTGCATCCACATATCGAAAGCAGGGCCGCTGGAAGGATGCAGAGGTGCTCGAGGTGGTGGTGATGGAGATGAGGAAGCATGTGCTGGGAGAGGAGCATCCAGACACCTTGAAAAGCATGGGCAATCTTGCATCCACATATTGGAACCAGGGCCGCTGGAAGGATGCAGAGACACTCGAGGTGGCTGTGATGGAGATGAGGAAGCGTGTTCTGGGAGAGGAGCATCCAGACACCTTGACAAGGATGGCCAATCTCGCATCTACATATTGGAGCCAGGGCCGCTGGAAGGATGCAGAGGCGCTCGATGTGGTGGTGATGGAGATGATGAAGTGTGTACTGGGAGAGGAGCATCCAGACACCTTGACGAGCATGGCCAATCTTGCATCCACATATCGCAGCCAGGGCCGTTGGAAGGATGCAGAGGCGCTCGAGGTAGTGGTGATGGAGATGCGGAAGCGTGTTCTGGGGGATGAGCATCCTTCTACCTTGACAAGCATTGCCAATCTCGCATCCACATATCGGAGCCAGGGCCGCTGGAAGGATTCAGAGGTGCTCGATGTGGTGGTGATGGAGATGAGCAAGTGTGTTCTGGGAGAGGAGCATCCAGATACCTTGATGAGCATGGGCAATCTCGCATCCACATATCGGAACCAGGGCCGCTGGAGGGATGCAGAGGCACTCGAGGTGGTGGTGATGGAGATGAGCAAGCGTGTGCTGGGAGACAAGCATCCTTCCACTTTGACAAGCATAGCCAATCTTGCATCTACATATCGGAGCCAGGGCCGCTGGAAGGATGCAGAGGCACTCGAGGTGGTGGTGATGGAGATGAGGAAGTGTGTGCTGGGAGAGGAGCATCCAGACACCTTGATGAGCATGGGCAATCTCGCATCCACATATCAGAACCAGGGCCGCTGGAGGGATGCAGAGGCACTCGAGGTGGTGGTGATAGAGATGAGCAAGTGTGTGCTGGGAGAGGAGCATCCAGACACCTTGATGAGCATGGGCAATCTTGCATCCACATATCGGAACCAGGGCCGCTGGAGGGATGCAGAGGCACTTGAGGTTGTGGTGATGGAGATGAGCAAGTGTGTACTGGGAGAGGAGCATCCTTCCACTTTAATGAGCATAGCCAATCTTGCATCCACATATCGGAACCAAGGCCGCTGGAGGGATGCAGAGGCGCTCGAGGTGGTAGTGATGGAGATGAGGAAGTGTGTGCTGGGAGAGGAGCATCCAGACACCTTGATGAGCCTGGCCAATCTAGGTGCCAATGATGGTCATGGCAAGAGTGGGTAGCAGACCATCCTCTGCTGCTATATTTCTTAATGACTGTCTAAATTATCTACTCCTTGTCCTGAACCTTTTTTGGTAAAGATATAAGTCTGTTGATACTTCACAGTTCCAATACCTCTCTTGAATGCCTCACCTCCCTACTAGACTATAATGCAGCTGAACATCCTATGGCAATTCATCTCAAGAATTGTTTTTCATGCAGGAAGTAGAAAATATTCAGTACTATCAAAAAGCTGAGCTGACAGAGGGAATTTCAGATACAATATCAAAAACCACTGACAGTCATTTATTCAGGATGATTTGACGGGAGAATAGGAAGACAATCTTTGACCAATAAAATGGAAGAGCACTCGCTGTGGCATGGCAAGACTCACGCGATCAAACGGACTGGTACGCGGGATCGGTGTGAGCCGCAAAGAAGAATGAACAGTACACTACACACACAGAAGAGCGGCCAGGAAAAAAAAGCGGGACGCAAAGGTACCCTTCACGGTGCACAATATTGCAAAGAACACAAAAGAATGAAAAAATAAAGCCCCCAATCGCACCACTGACAAGCTCGACGCTTGAAGATACACCCCCAGCTCTCATCGTTGGGCTCATCTGCGAGGCGGGCCGGGAGATGTCCGACGGCCTGCGGGTTATTCCTTGCGTTTGCGGGACAGCGAGTGTGAGCGCAAACGCAAAAGGGAAAAAATAGTGTGAATCGAAGAAAATACATTTACGCTTGAGGACGGAGGGGGGAGGAGAAAGGGTGGAGGAAATAAAGAATGAAAAATGAAAAATGCACACACCACGGAAAGAATAGTGGTGAATGGTTCCGTGTCTGCGAAACATTTTTCATTCGTCCACGTAAACGGACCACACTCGTTCAAATCGAGCTTGGGCCATATTTTGTCCAGGATCGAATTTTTTTTATTCCGCTTGTTGAATTGAACTTCACTAGGTTGCGAGGTATAGAAATGTAGGCTCAGTGGCGGATGGTCCGCGTCTGCTGAAATTTCGTGGAAAGGATGAATCTCAGCAGAAGACGCTCATTCGAATCGAACCTGAGTCATATCTGGTCCATGGTCAGTGGTCACATTATTTTTATTCCGCTTGTTGAATTGAACCAACTTCACTAGGTGTCGTGGTATTGAAGCATAGGCCCAGTGGCAGATGGTTCCGCATCTGCGATAATTGAACGAGGACGCCACAGCTTATGCAGAATATGCTCGTTCAACTCGAGCCTGGGCCTTTCTCCAATCATTAGGCTTTTTTTATTCAACTCGTTGAAATTCACCCAATTTGTAAGTATAAGGACATAGGCCCAGTGGCGGAAGGTTCCGCGCCTGCGACAATTAGTGAGGATGCGAACTGTATGCAGAAAATGCTCGTTCGACTCGAGCCTGGGCCGTAGTTCTTGGTCTGTAAATGCCTTTTTATTCAATTAACTGTCGAAGTTCGCCTCATTTATTTAGATTTTAAGAAAGGAGAGAAAGGCCCAGTGGCGGATGGTCCGCGTCTGCGATACTTTACCAAAGAAAATGAAAGCAAGCGGAAGTAGCCTGGGCCATACATGGGCGACTCGTTTTTCATTTTGCTAATTAAAAATCAACCCACCTAGTTAGGTTTCAAAGGAAAAGAAATAGGTCCAGTGGCGGATGGTCCGTGTCTGCTGAACTTACATTTGTGGTCAACAAGGTACTATGCAGAATATGCTCGTTCGACTCGAGCCTGGGCCATGCATGTGCCATTCCTTGATTTTCATTTTGCTAATTGAAAATCAACCCATCTATTAAGATTTCAAAGGAGGAGAGAAAGGCCCAGTGGCGGAAGGTCCGCGTCTGTGATACTTGGGCGGCTAGAATTATTGCAGTGATGTTAAGCAGAATGTGCTCGTTCGAATCGAGCCTGGGCCATACAAAGTCAGAATTCACCGCGTAATGTTAGTTGGATATGACTTTGACTCGAGCCGGGGCCATAGTCCTGCAGCACTGATTTTTTTTAAAAATTCTCTCTCCAGCTCCGGCGTGGGTCCGTGAACAAAATCCGACCCACTGAATTAATTCATACACCCAGCGAGGTACGAGCTATTGTATTGAATTTATGTCGTGAGAATATCGCCCAATCCGGCAGCCCTGACTTCTGATCCGCGACAAGCTCTTGTTCCGCGCCGGCCTTCACCAAAGCTTCATGGCGCGCCTGCTCCTGCGTCCTTGTCGGCCTTGGCGCCGAGACGCCCCCTTTCCGGTGGGAGCATCGTGGCGGACCCGTGCAAGAAGACGGTGTTGGTGCTCCTCTTGCATTCGGGTCCGTTTTTCTTTCCGTATTCATTCAGATAATAAACCCCAGCACGCTCTAAAACTCGACTACACCATCGTCAACGTCGAGGCCGCCGCGGACAGCAAGATCGCGCGCGTGACAGTACACGAGGGCTTCCTCAATTATTCGCCCTCCCGCGGCACGCTTCTGTGCTCCGCTTTCTGTGCCCTTTCTGCGTCTCTAGCTAACTGCATATGCGCGTAGGTCCAGGGCCTCACGCACCTACCCTCGCTCTCGCTTCACAGCATCGACGGCGCCTTCTCCAGCCCCGGCGCAAAGACCGTCATCCCCGCAAATATCAGCGACAGTATCAGAGGGCCTGCTTGTGCTCTCGCGTTGAGTGGGGAGCTGCTTTGGGGATTGCTGGCCGTCATCTACCTCCAGCCCCTCTCTTCTCCCCCCTTCTCCGCACTCGTCCCACCTCTCCTCCCCCCTGCCGCTTTCCGTCCGGCCCTCCCTCCTCCTTTCCCATCCTATCTCACTTCCATACCGCTTTTAATCATTTCATCTGATTCTTTCTTTCATTTATTTTTATTATCATCCCTTCTTCCCATCATCCTTCTTCCCCTTTCCCATCATCCTCACCGCCCCACAGACGACCGCGGCTGTCGCGCCGCTCGTGCACGCCGAGTTTGCCAATCTCGGGAACAGGAATCAGATATGCGGTGCGTAGTTTTCCTTCTCCCTCTTCTGTCTTGTGTTTTATTTTTTATTTTTTATTTTTTTTGGGGGGGGTTCTCTAAATCCGATGCATCAAAGACCTTTCTTCCTTCCTTCGTTCTTTTCTTTTCTTTTCTTTCGCGCGACTGTCTGCACCTGGTTCCTTCGCTGCGAGGCCCGTTCGTGCCCGCGCCACGATCGTTCGTGCGCGACGCCGCGATCGTTCATGCCCACGCCGCGACGCGCTTCCTAGCTATGCGTGTGTTCTGCGAAGGCAGCGCAGCACCGGTGCGGTGGGCGACGTCGATTCCTGCGATTTGGCGTCACGTCTGTTCGTCCCCGAAGGCGGTGCGGTGAGGGTGCGCAAACTGGATGAAGTTAACCAGCGGTGAAGATGGACTAATTACTCAGTGCTTATTAACCTCATGAGCTTCGATACTTGGTCATAGCTATATGCTGAAACAGAGGTGGTGAACCGTAAATGGCAGAATATATTACGATTGAGATGAATTTCAGATCTATATATTGGCAGTACCTGCTGTTCGATTCACTGCACGACATACGTTTACGCGACTCGGAGAAGTAATTATGATAGGGAAAGTCAAATTCAAAATGCCCGAATTCAGACGCATATTCTAGGAGTGCTTTGAGTGCCCTGATGGTTGCTCTGGCATGTCCTCAGTGCGAACTCGTTCATCAATCCATAACAGACCGTTTTTTTATGTGCGATCCCCGTCGCCATCCTACTCGTCATCACAAAAAGTAACCGGAAATTGATTCACTGTGCCAGATCACGTGCACTGAGCTCGACCATACCTTACCACCGAATACCTACAGATATTAGCTGAAGACCACATAACTTGTTTTGGGAGAATTGACCCAGTATTTCTCTCCAGAGACCAGAAAAGATCAGCAACCCATGTTTAAATTATGACATTTGATCCAACAGTCGGGAGAAACTTCACAAAAAAAAATACTTGGAGCCTGAATTCAAAGTGGGGTATCCTGGAATAGGTAAACAGACATCTTCGGTGGATTTTGTAACAGTTAAGTTCCTGATTATGTAACAGATTCTTGCCGCAAATTGTGTCGCAGCATTGTCTGCAGGATTTCAAGATCAATTGTTGAACAAGTGATTTAGATGGTAATCCGTCATGTAGAGCACCATGGATCGATGAAGTAATGACTGAGCAATGCTCCAGTCAAATTTTAAACGAAGTTGAGCTGTCAAGGTTCAATTTTGTCAGCTTAACTGGAGAGCAGCTTGTGCACGATCCATGCAGGCAGGACTCGCAGCAGAAAATGCCTTGTGTATGAGTGTCCATTCACTTTTCTCGAGTTCCAAGTCATAGTGCATGTTCAATATATCTTAAGGAATAGCCCTGACAACAGAAAACTCTATCTATGCCCCAGACCGAGCCATATGCCCCAATTTTGGACACATGTAGCAAAAATCAAGTGGACTCAAAACAATTGATCCACAGAGGGTATACACATGATTTTTGATGCTAAATTGGATATGAAGGGTGAGAATATATCCAGATGAGCATTTCTAGGTAGTCAGACCCAGTATATTGTACGAATTTCTGCTGTAGTAAGCGAATTTCCGGTTACTTTTTGTGATGACGAGTATGTATAGACTTGAGGCAGACGTTTTCGGGCCAACTTAAAATTGATGACTCGACTGCCATCAAAGTCCAGTGCTGGCGTCTGCTGCTGGGTTCGAGCCTATCCTCTGTAGTGCTGTTATCAAGATCGGAGCTGACACGCTGATGCAAACATTTACTCGACCTGCGAAAAGGAGCGACTCGTCCTTTTAAATTAAATGAGCAGTCACCTAATCCTACGAAGCCACAAACTCTCTTCACTCATCCTTGTGCTTGCACTCACCGCCTGTGGTGCGCACGCAGGGAACACTAAAACTACGGCTTAAAAAGAGCAAGCCATCATAATACTGACAGCTTTGGATGTACCAATTATCCGTATTACCCTTAAAGAGCCGTATTCTGTTTGTGATCGCGATAACCTGACCTGAGTGAGGGCAAGAACAACTGAATACAAGCCAATATGTGTACCATTGTATCTAAGTTCTAAGTGGCATCGGGAATATACTGCGGCAAGCAACTAAGTTGCATCACCGCGTTTGATTCCGTAAATAGGACCCGCGGTCTTTGCTGCCGGATGTCGGCATTCCGCGTAAATACGACGATCCTGCACTCGGTAAAATGCTGCGGAGAAAGAACCAAGTTTCGTGTCCACATTCGATAAGGGTCAATGGGAAAATAGTCAGACAGATTTCGTGGCATAGAATCCTACTCAGTGTTTTTCTTGGCCTCTCCGTTCTAAACATCTTTCATGGTCAAATGAATTACATTCACAAGCGGATCCAGCTTGGTATTTTCACTTATAATCTATTACGATGCGTTCAATTCAGTTTTTATCCATCCATGTCGATTTGGCATGTTCACGTGGTCGCGTTTCAATCACGTGTGACGTGACATCTGTGACGCCCTCTTCTTGCTTCTTACCTCCGTGTACCTCCAAGAAGGGTAGACTACTCCTCTCATGGCTGTGTTGAGCGCGTAGTTTCTCGGCGGTGCATCATCGTTCCCCGAGGCTACTGCGCGCAAACTGCGCACGGCTGCTTGACTGCTGCGGGATGACGTGAACCAAATTGGAATGTCCACCACGAAAACGAGTACTCTTCAAGTCCCATTGGAGTGTTGTTCACTTGCTGCTGATTTCCGTAAATGGTTCCCCACCGCAAATATATATTTCCGCACCAAAACTCGCAAACAGCACCCGCAAGAACGATCTCGAATAGAAAAGTACTGTCGGCAGTCATACCCTGGCACTCAAGTTTCATACGCATGGGTGGTTCACCTTCGTCGCCATCAACTCCGCTACGTGTCGGCCGTTTATATTTAACCTCGTCACTGGCTATAAAGTCTGCTCAAGGCCTGCCTCCAAAATATCTCTTCATTCATTCTCTTCACCATCATAAATACTTCGATGAGCATTATCCCCCTTCTTTTACTTTCTCTCAGTCGTCTCGGATTATCCGACGCGTCCCCCACTCTCGCCCCACGCCAGAGCACCGATTCTCCCCAGCGGCAAAATCAGACTATCCGCTGGGTGGACTGCCACAATAAGGTGCCGCGGCCGCTTGTCTCCGGGCTGAATGCCACAGGGACTACATTCAACGGGGCACTCAAGTTTTATATGCATGGGTGGTTCACCTTCGTCGCCATCAACTCCGCTACGTGTCGGCCGTTTATATTTAACCTCCTCACTGGCTATATAGTCTGCTATGGGCCTGCCTTCAAAACTATCTATTCATTCATTCTCTCCACCACCATAAATACTTCGATGAGCATTCTCCCCTTTCTTCTACTTTCTCTCAGTCTTCTCGGATTCTCCGACGCATTCCCC